CTCCAGAGTCACACATTTCTCCAGCATGTTCCCTAGGACATGAGTGGTTCCCCTCTCCCACTCCCCAGAACTTTCATCTGGGCATGTATCCATTTACCATTTGGAGTATCCATGCTGACCTTTGTGGCATTTCTCTATGTTTCATAACCTTGTTAAAGTATATAAGCAAACCCCAATGGTAGTTTTCATTATATTTCATGTTCATAAGTGTATGTGACTTGGGCGTGGCTTAGCTGAGTGACTATTTCCTGTCTCTCAAGAGGATGCTATCCAGCTGTCAGATGGTTTGATGACCCTCCAGTCAGCTTCTGTCATGTGTATGTATGTCATAAGTCTGTTCTCAGTGGAGAGTGTAGATGGGAATTCTTCAAGAGACTTTTCCAGAGTTCTCAGACATCTTCCATACCACTGTGGGGCTCCCAAAGGACTATCCAAAGAAGCCTGGGTGGACTGCTCAAGGCTTCTTATGACCTCATCTTGAGAGTCCTGGAACATCACTCCTACCAGGTACTGGCTTCAATTGGTCAAGCAAGGCATCAAAATTCAAAGGAGGGGTGATTAGAATGAAACTTTTTGGGGGAGGAATAGATTGGAGTCTGTAGCTATCTTTAATCCACTATGCCCTGTCAAATATGTCTAGGTCTTGAATAACTCCTTGGCTCATGTTGTCCAACTACACACTTTCCATGTAGAATTTCAGGGAAAGTCTCACAATATTTTCCTTGATTTTTTTGAGAAATACATTCTAGCCAGCTTGGTTTTTCTCTCTTCTGACAGATTTCACTAGCTTTACAGGCTCTTTCGGACTGAGACACAATTGAAAGACACCGCACTTTCTAGTGCCTTGTTGAGCTGGTAGACTTCACAAATCCTTGCTCCTTCAGGTCCTTTTCTCGTGGTCTTGAAGACATAGTTATTATTTTTGTTGTTTCATGTCTATGTGGTCTGTCTTTTAAGAAAGTATTGGTCACTCACCATGTTAAGCCTATCTTGTTGTATTTTGTCTCCAATCTTTACCCTTATTATGATCTAGAGTGAAGTATCTTTTTTGGAATGTCTCCTTGATTTCCTATACAAAATCACACCAAACTCCCCCCAAAATTAGCTTTTAGAAATGTGTGTGTGTGTGTTTATCAGTTGCCAAGATAGATAGGTGGTTCCAGGGGATACAGGGAGGAAATTGACTGTGGTGTGGAAAGCTGTTTCAAGTCTGATGAAGAAGGAATTGAATAGGAGGAGAGACTTAGGGAATGAACACAAGGCCATCAGTTGGGTTAGCTCTGCCTCTTGTTGTGGGAGCCCTGATGACTTCATGAACTATTAGTTGCAGACAGAGGCCAGGATACGTTAATATTGTTAGTATTGGTAGGATAGAAAGGCACACTTGCTTTGGCTTCTGGCCTTTCCAGTTTAAGTGAGGTCATGTGTGTATTAGTAATGGAACTGTTAACCTTCAAAGTAGAAATAGGGAGTTACTTTTGTTTATGGTTATGACAAAATACTTGACAACAGAACCTTTTAAAAGGGGATGTTTATATTTTGGTTTACTGTTGAAAGAGGCATGCAGTCCATCATGACAGGGAAGGCACAGCAGCAGGAACAGAGTGTCCTCAGCCAGGCAGCAGAGATGAATACTGATATGCAGCTCACTTTTACTCCTCCTGGGCCCCTAGCTCATGGGAAGGTGCCCCCTTTTCTCTCCTCAGTTAAATTTTTTTGTAGAAACACTCAGATGTACCCAGAAGTGTGTTTCCACAGTGATGTGAAATCTGGTCAGGCTGGCCACAAGGATTAGCTATCACCCTAGGGATGAAGTCCCGCTCCTGTGGACCTGTGCTGGAGTTTGGTCAGTGTCATGTACTTCAGGTTTCGCAGATGTGAAATGAGTGTTGAATTGAAGGCTGACATTGTAATGTCCAGAGCTTTGTGGAGTCCGCAGGAGACTTTGATCTGTTTTTCCAAATTTATGCTGTGGGAAAGTATCCTTACAACTTTTCTTTATCCCTGAGATATGTCTGGGCTGTAATTACTGTATATATGTGTATAGACATTAACATGAAATTATTCTCAGATATAAATGACATAATATTAGCAGTTGATTGCAGAAGACACTGGGCTTGAATTGTTTAATTTAATGCTAATTTGCTTCAAGTGCAAACACTCATCAGGAACATTAGGTAATTATCATTTAGGTACAGGACCCCAATATATGAAATCTGCATTTCCATTTGAGTGTATATCACATGTGTAGCTGCTCATGGCAACATTGGGGAAGGAACTGAACATGCATGTTCATTACAGAGATTTGTGCTGACAAATCTTGGTTATTAATACTATCTTTTGTTAAATCTCTTATATGAGGTATCTACCAAATCCTAGACAATAAAATATTTTTTTTTATTTTTAGTGCAGTTTGTTTAAATACACACTTAATCTGAGGCTTTCTATGTAGAGGATGAATATGGTGTGTGAAGAATTCTGTGATGTGGTAATACTTTGTCTATGATCTAACAAATAAAAGCTTGCCTGAAGATCAGAATGCAAAGCTAGCCACACTAGTTAGCCATAGCGACCTGGGAGTCGTGGCATACACCTTCAATCCCAGCAGCCACACTAGTTAGTCATGGAGGCCAGGCAATGGTGGTATACACCTTTAATCCCAGCACTCAGGAAACAGAAGCAGATGGATCTCTGTTAGTTCAAGGCCACCCTGGGCTACATGAATTGATGTAGTCTAAAAGAGAAATAGAGCTCACATAAAAGTGATTCCAGCACTTGGACTGACATGCCTTTAATGCTAGCACTAAAGAGGTGGAGACAGGAGTGATATGGCCGGGCTGAGAGAGGAATTCAAGGTGGGAGGAGACAAGAGAGATGCAGTCTGAGGAACAGTGCAGTCTAAGGAATAATGCCATCTAAGCAGTCTGAGAATGCAATCTGAGGACAGGATCGTCCTTTTGATCTGAGCGTTGGTAGAGGTGAGAACTCTCTAGGGACTGGCCTATTTGCTCCTCTGATCTTCAGCATTAACCCCAATATCTGACTCTGAGGTTTTATTATTAAGAACAATTAGAATCTATGCTACACTGAAATTCTGAATATAGAAGAAACAAAAGAGAGATACCTAAATCTCTTCATTTTAATCAATTTATAAGTGGTGAAACCAAGTTCTAAGATGTTTGTCTCATTTGCCCAAGATGATGACTTTTAACAATGTTTTACTTCACTATGGTAGGCACTTTCAGAAGTTCTCTGTTCATGTTGGCAAGTTCAGGACAAGAGCATCCTTAGTGTGAGAGACAGATGCCCTTTATTCCATCATTGTACAGACAGGGAAACTGAGGCAAAGAAAGACTATAGCAAATCATCCTCTCTAGGGCACAACAGCAAAAGTGGCAGGGCCAGGATTGGAACTCAGGCATTTTAGTTTCAGAATCTGCTCTTAGCCAAATGCATTCTTGATGAGAATAGAGAGCTAAAGTCAAGCTGGTACTGGAGCCTGGATCCCTTCCTTCCATCGAGAGTCCTTTCTACAACACCAGGCTTATTTAAAAACATAGTCTCTTGATATTTAAAATAAATAGTGCAGGGTTACAGTACATGCCTATAATCTCAGCACCCAGAGACAGAGGCAGGAGGATTGAATTATAGATTCAAGGGTGGCCTGGGTTGCATGAGACTCTATTTCAAGACAAAACAAAAAAGGACTGAGGAGAGGGCTCAACCTGTAAAGTAATTGCTGTACAAGAACAAAGACCTAAATTTAATCTTCCAGACCCACCCCTGTTAAAGAAGTCAGTGCAGTAGTGTGTGTCTGTCATTCTAGAACTGGAGAGGAAGATAGAAAGATGCTTTGAGCTCACTGACTGAATTGGTGAATTCTGGGTTCAGTCAGAGACCTTGTATCAAAATACTAGATGAAGAGACACAGGCATACACACACATATACACATGTGCACATTTGTACATGATATATACATGCACCCAGGTACATGTACATCACATGTACACACACATGCAAGCACACATAGTGCATACAGGCATACATGCATGCTCACACACATGCATACACACACATGCATAGGTACACACGGAGAACCACTAAAAGGATACCTGAGATTTGCACCCATATTTTGCAGATTTTTGTCTTCTCATAGGACTCCCAGGAAGGCAGGTATCCATGTCCACCCTTCCCAGGGAAAACTTGAACAACTGCATTCATTAGTAGGTAAGAATAGCTGATAATCAATAATGAGTCACATGTGCCAAAGCTAATGGCTGACTATGAAGTGATTTCAATTTGTAAGGCTTTTCTCCCCCCAGAAATTAGCTAAACTCTTCTAGGAACAATCTTCATATCTTATTTGTTAATGGCTTTCTTGGCTCTTCCTTAATATTGTGGTCTTATATCCAACCCTCTCCACACACACACTGGAGTGTTTCATCTTTGACCAGTATAGCATTCATTACTCATGGAGTTACCTGTCAGTATAATTCTGGTGTCACTCTTCATCATGGTTAAATTCCCAAAGTAAATATCCCCAGGCAGTGTGATGCTACTGGGGAGTACTTGCCTCAGCCCTTGAACCCATCAGAGCTGGGGTTCATCCTTGTCTAACAGCCATGCAAATGAGGGAATTCTTTGGTGTAGCTATGGGCACTCCTTTTCTGTCACAATTGATGCTTGTTTATTTCATCTGTGGTTTCTGTTCTTATTGTGAACTTATAGCACAACCAAGTGCCATTTGCTGAGGGCCTCAGTGAACTAGGACAGAGCTCATTGGATCCTCAACCACCATTGGTTTGAAATGATTCTCCATCTCTGCATCTTTTCCATGGATCTCAGAACTCGCCTACAGCTAGTGTCTTAATGATACCACAAGGAGATGAGACAGGGCTTCATATCCACAGAGGCTATTAGAAGCTTGGACCCACTGGTATTGAGGAAGAGGAGCAGAAGGCAGGTGAAAGTTAACCAGCTGTCTTTTCTCTCTTCCTAGGCACTTGTGAGAAAAATTGATACCTCAGACAATATCTACATCATGGAGTCTACCACAGGGAACCTGTTCAGCCTGACCCAGGAGGGGGCTCCTTTGTGTCGCATCATAGCCAAGGTGAATTTCATGGTTGGGGACTGGAGAGCAAGTCTGGGCAAAGTAGGAGGAAGATCTTCTTGTTTGCTAGGTGGGAACTGCTGGCTCAGGTTTGTCATAGCCACAGCATTAACTTGTTGTGTGACTTTGGAAGAGTCACTTTTCTTGATGTTGCCTAGGCTCCATGATTTCATTTCCTACTTGACACAAAAAGATATAGTAGTTAGGGTTCCCGAAAGGAACATAACTTATGAAAAGCATAGATTTAAAGCAGTACTTCTTAGAGTGGCTTACACAGTGCAGTCTGCTTATACAATGGCTGTCTTCACATTGGACAGACTGAGAACCTATAGCTGCTCAGGCCTGGGGGATTCCTGGAGAGCCACTGGCTTCCTTCCATGTCGGAGGGTCAAAAATGCTGGTTTCCAGTGTTAATAGAGGATGTGGTGGAATCGATGAGCTTGTGAACAGAGCGAATGAACTTGCAAACTGTAGATGCAAGTACACAAAACGCTAAAGATTTCCCCTCTGACTCCCTGATATTCAGATCACTGCTAGTGGATAATACCCACATTTAAGGTGAGTCTTCCCATCCCAATTATCCTAGTCAAGAAGATCCCTCGCATCTATGTTTCTTAGTTGATTCCAGATTCAGCCAAGTTGAAAGCCAAGATTAAGAATTGCAGATACATCCACAGGACTTCTGCTCTCTCTCTAACCAGGCATGTGTCATAAATGCCAACCCTTCTTTCCCATTCCACACATCTCTTCTTGACAATGTGATGTCCCTGGTGTGATGGTACAAAGACCATCTGGCATATTAGCAACAATGCCATAAACAAATAAACAAATCCATAAACATTGATTTTATATGGCATCCTTTCATCATAGGAATAAGAAATGTAGTGTCTTAAACCCAGTTCAAAGAAAAGTTTTAAAATATAGCTTTACCTGTAATTGAGCTCCATTCACATCCCTTGATATTTCCCATGATAACTTCTAATCAGCAGCAGTGTTGTCAGAAAAAAAATAAGACCAATGTGTCTGTAAACGTAAACTTCATCTTGTCAGACATGTGTATTTTTCAGGAATCTGTCTGAATAGCCCCCTCTAAGATTCTTGGTTGGATCTTCAAATGCCCATAGCCACTCCAGCAATTATTGGAGGAGGAGGTGGAAATAAAAATAGACTGCTGTGTAAATCACTAAGTTCCTAGTTGACTCACCTTGATGGTGGCTCTAAGACCAAAGTGAGACTTAATGCTTTCTTCCTTTCTCATCAGAGAAGTGATGTCACTACAGAACTTGTAATCTAGGTAGAGCTCAGTTCTGACTTCCATAGATTCCAGTGTCAGTCTCAGGAGGAGGATCCTGGCATGTGTCCTCAATCCCATTTGTATCACAATCCTTCAGAGAGTTTGGAAACACCAGATACTTTGGCTTTTGCACCACCATGAAGTTACTGCAATTCTGGGCTATGCTCAGGGATTCTTCATTTCAGCGTGTTCCTTAGAGGACAATAGACCTCAGAGTCACTGATCAAAGCCCTTGAAGAAATGAAATTGGGGTAGAGGTTTGTCATCTCTGTTCGGGGAACAAATGAATTGTGTTTAATGGCAGTAGCTGACATTATGTCACTCTTGTTCATGTCTTGCATAACTTATTTGTTTTAAAACATGAAAACAGCCCATGTAGTGGGACTGTGTTGTTCCCATTCATAATAGAGTTTATGCCTTGAGAAACTTATCCAAAGTCAGACAGACCCCTTAAGAACACACATGTCTGACAAGATGAAGTTCATGTTTACAGACATCTTCTTATTTCTTCTGAAAACACCAATAGCTAGTAAATGGCAAGTTCAGATTTAGAAGCAAGAGCTCTGGTTACAAGTTCATGGTCCAAAGCCTTACAGTGGTGATTTCTGGTTCAAACTTTAGGCCCGAGTGTGACTCAGAATCACTGCAGAGTTTTAAAAAATTTCTAATTCTGTTTTACTTGGTCTGGGGTGGTAGATGGGGTTGTTTTCCAGGTGATTTCTAATCCCTTGCAGACTACTACTCTCTTTCATAGGCATTAGTTGAAATTGTACTTGAATGCATATGGTAGTATTGGGGAAAAGGAAATAAGGAGAGTATTGGGGCTTTCTCTCCCAAGGATTCTGTGACTCCATCATTTAACTTGGTGGTGAGTCTTGACCTGCAGAGGTCACATGATACTGTGCAGAGCAAAGACATTCTCCAACCTCTCAGCTCCAGTTTGGAGATTAAATTCCAACAGACTTAGCTGAATTTCTTTTGGAACAAAGAACATTTTTTTCCTCTTAAAAAATAAGTAGTAAATCTTGTTTGGCACAGGTTCTCAAAACCCCCTTTCTGTGTGCTGCTGGTGTAGACAACACCTACTACTGCCTGCCCCTGTGTTCCTCTTTCATGAAAATAGAGAGTAGACACGAGTTTGAATCTAAGCCAAGGGTAGTACTTAACTTCCTGCTAGTTAGTCTCTGCCCAGGTCTGGGACTCACCCTGGGTTAATGTTGATTCCAAATGTGTCCAGTGGGAAGGGAGAGAGCAGGGAGAAAGGCCTGGGAGGGAGAGAGCAGGGAGAAAGGCCTTGGAGGGAGAAAGCAGGGAGAAAGGCCTGGGCAAGGACCATAGGCAATTGTCATGCTAGCCCTGCTGTTAGCTTGTGGCAGGATGCTAGCCAGGTCTGGTGCCATCAACCTGACCTCTGTGAACTATGGAATTTTAAGAGGCTTCCTTAATCTACCACTGTGTCTGGCCTTCCTGGTGGAAAGGTAAGCCTGCAGTTCTCATTTTGTCAAACTCCAGTCTGAACAGCCATGGTGCGCTGTTTTCCCCATTTGGTCACTGCTTCTTCCATTTCCTTCCCTCTCCCACTCTCTCCCCTGCTACCCACACAACTCCAGGCTCCCAGTGTAGCCTGGACTCTTCACAGTCCTGACTAGAAGTTTCACATATTTTTCATGATGCTTTGAGCCATACCCCATAATAGTCTCCCTAAAGGAAGCCATGTACCTTGCTGAATATTAATGACAAAAACAATAAAAAAAATACTGTGTCCTGCTTGTTCCTCATGTTCCAGGCCCTAGACTGGTACTTTTGGCATTGCTTTGGTGTTTGGTCCACACACATCCTCTGAGATGAGCGTCAGTGCTCAGTCACACATAAGAACTCCAGGACTTACAGTACCTTGCTCAGCACTTGTTTGAAACCAGTTTTTCCTACTTCTGAGTCCATGTTCTCTGAATTTCAGCAGCTTCATTGTTTAAAACTTAGAGTCCCTCCCTGACAGGGCTGAGTCCCTACTCCGACAACTCCATCTCTGTCTCAATCCCCATTTCTTCTTCCTTGGCTTCTGGTGCATTACACAATGAATGATTAACTTTCCCTGTGTGTGAGGTTGGTGAAAGTCAGGACTGGAAGACATGGGTGGGAATTGGAGAGGCATAGAGCCCTGGTTTCCTAAAGTTGGAAATGGTCACTGTGATGATAATGTTAGATAGATAGATTATAGGTAGATAATAGATAGAGTAGTATTCAAAACAAAACAATAGAGCATTTCTACAGTACTCACTATGTGCCTGATAATGTTCTGAGTGCTTGTTTAAACATTCTCTAAGCCCTGTGCAGAAGACAGAGTCTACTCCAACTGAATGGTAGGGAACTGAGACATGGGAACCAATAAAATTTAACTAGACTGTTCATTAAAGGTGACATGCCCTTGACTGTTCTCAACTGTCTCCCAGAGTGTTGCCTCTCTTCTCCCTTTTACTTTCCCTCCTTCCTTTTCATTTTCTTCTCCCCACTGTCCTACTCCATATGCCTCCATATCTTTCATTAGTGGCCAAAGCACTATATTGTACTTTCCCCTTGGTATTGCAATTGATGGACCAGCCATACTCAGGTGTGCTAAAGCTATAATTGCTTTCTTTGTGTGTATAAGTGTATTATGTTGTGTGCATGTGTGTATGCATGTTTACATGTGTGTAGGCCCACATGTGTGTGTAGCTGCATATGTAGGTACATGAATTTTAAAGCCTGAGGTTGAAAGTGACTGCCTTCCTTGATTCCCCTCCACCTTGTGCCTAGAGGCATAGTCTCTCAATTCAGAACTCATTGACTTGGTTTATCTGCTTATTCTGGGACTTCCTTGTCTCTACTTCCTGTGTGCTATCATAGGAGGATTACCAAGCCTACCTGGCATTTACCTGGGTGCTTGGGATCTGAACACTGGTCCTTACAGTTGTGCACCAACTGCCTTACCCACTGATCCATCTCCCCATTATCCACATTTTTTAAAGGGAGGAAGCAGATTCTCAGAGGGTCAGGGCTTGTCTTACGTTACACCCATTCATGCAGAGCTAGAATTTTAATCAGGTCTTCTGATGCCAGTCTTCACTTCAATCTAGTTGTGTTTGGCTCCTGGGTAGAAACAGGGAGAGGATGCAGTGATGTCCTCTATCTTTTCAATCTAGAAGATGGCAAAATGGGTTCCAGTAGCAGAGACACCATGTGGGAGTCTAGTGCTGACAACATCCTACCTCAGACACTCGGTAAAGACCTCAACACTGGGATCAATGTGAGAGGTCTCCCAGTAGTCTTCCTCATGACACCTACAGAGCCCACTGTGATCTCTAGGTCATCATTCATCTGTCCCAACTGTTTCTAGTTGGACCTAGGCAGTCTGTTTGAGGTCTGTCCTCTGAGTATATATGAATCCAGACACCCATGAATGAGCCGAGTCCTCTCAAGATGATGGTGACAACTCTCTCCCCTCCCCAAGCAGAGCACTATGCTGTGTCACAGTCACCCCAGCTCCTCTGTGATTACTTCCATCACCAGCCTACACACCCGGGAGTGGCCCCTGCCAGCATTATGACAGCTCATCCCAAGCTGTCTGAATAATTCATACTGTTATGCATCTGGGCTGAGAGCCCAGAGCTTTCTATAAAATTAAACAAGCCCCAGCCAACAGTGTGATCTGCTAGCTCAGTCAGTCCCAGTGTTACCCCAGGATAAGTGCTGCTGAAAGTCTTGGTGGGGGCTCTAGGGTGGTTGGTGAGATAATCTGTCTAAAATCCCTGGTAGATCCCTTTCCTGTTTCCCCTTTTCACATGCCCTGAGCCTTGACATACCTTTCATGAGGGGGCCAGGCCACCTTCTGATGAGGAAGCCTTCCATAGCCTAACTCTCACATGGCTGTCCAGAGAGCTAGCACTAGGTCCTTCAACAGCTCAGCTGCTGTTCCTATTAAGTAGTTACATAGCATTTTAGCCCAAACCAACCAGACATGGAGTCAGGATTAAGACCCAAATCCCTAGCAGGGGTCTAGGACTTTCTTCTTTTTATAATTGAAAATTCGAAGGAGGGCATTTTTCACAGGCTTGGGGAAAGACATAATGAGGACCTGATGCAAATGCAGAACTCAGATTTGCTGGCCTCAGTGCCTTACAAACCAAAGGAGGCTGCCATAGTCTTCCTGGCTTTGGTCTTGGGTTCCTTAAGAAAAAAACAACAATAACAACAAAAACAAAACACCCCAATCCCAATAATTTTACTAATTCTTTGAGAATTTCATACATGAAACACAATTATTTTCATCACATTCACCCCCAATCCCCAACTCTTCCAAGACATCTCCAACCCCCTTTCAACTTTGTGTTCTTCAATTTTTTTAAACAACCAGTTTGTGCTCTCATATACTCCTGAGTATGGAGCCACCTACTGGAGTGTGGTCTACCTATCAAGAGCCACACCCTTGAAAATAAAACTGACTCTCCCCCAGAAGCCATCCAGGGCCCTAGCTCCTCAGTTAGGGGTGAGACCTCGACTAACTTGATCTTGCAAAGGTCTTGGGCAAACAACCATAGCTGGTGTCAGTTATGAGTGCCGTGGTCCCTGATCTGTGAGGAAGGGGTATGTTATATCCCATTTAAGGCTGAGCATTCTACAGAAATTTAGTCTTTGCACTTTGACACCCAGCCTGGTATATGGTAAATTCCTAAAAATACTTATGGTGTATTATCATAAATCTGACAGGGGATAGTGTTTTACTGAACTCACCTTCCTATAACATTTTGCTTGATTCTGGGAACAGGTGCCAGGATAGTTAGACTTGGGAGTGATGGGTAAGGTTAAAAGTGACTGTCCTGAGGGCTTAGATCCCATAAATCCCTTGCTCACTCAATGCTACCTCTAAGTACATTCCAGCCCTTAGAAAAGGGAATAGAGGAGGAGGAGGCAAAGCCAGATGGGGGTACCAACTTTTGCTCTGAATTCACTAGATAGTGTTGCTGTTGGTCTGCTAATACTGTGGCGTGTCCCCTGTGTAGTCTGTGAGTGTTTTCACTCTGGACACGGGAGGACTACAGTGATGATTACAGAATACTTCTTGTGCCCAGATTCCACTGAGGGGCACACTGTATTGGGCAGCCTCCACGAGATGAGAGAAAGAAGACTTCATTAGCAGTTCCTATCAAAGACAAAGGACACACACTCAAGAGCTGCATGAGTGTCCTGAAAGTGGTTGTCTCCCTCTACATATCCATGGAAGGGTGACATGGATTTAGGGGGAATTGCCTTCCCCATCTGGCCTTTAATAGTTTTTTCCCCATTATACAGTGAGAAGGAATGACAGACCTGATATAACATCCTTTTCTGCCTGCCTTCCATGGCATGGGAAAGAGCAAGGGGAAGCATGGCAGCTGATGGAGAGGGAATGGGCACTGAATTCTAGACTCTGCCCCTTTATCTACTTTCACCAGTCTATAGGATTTGTTCTGGTGATGTCAGGCCTGCTCTTCTGGGGGCTGAGCAGAAGGGTCTGGATCTTCAACCCCACCAAAATGTCTGTCGCTGGTCCCCAAACCCTAGAAGCATCTGGGGAATCCTACTTCCCACTGGGGCTATTGGGGATCAGGATATCCCAAAACATGTCTGCTTAGTGAGAGCTGTCAGCTATTATTGAGTGAATCCAGGGAAGATCACAAGGTAAGGTCATGTGATATTCTCTTCTCCACAGGAAGGTGGAGTTGTAGCCCTCTTCAAGGTTTGCAGACAGGACAGCTTCCGGTGCATGTACCCCCAGGCGCTCCGCACACTCGCCTCTATCTGCTGTGTAGAAGAGGGTGTCCATCAGCTGGAGAAGGTAAAGTCAGTGGTCTCAGTGGGCTGACGTCTCTGAGCCAGCTGGCATTGGGAACTTGGTGGTGGCATTTGGTCCTCCTCACATAGCAAGTCTACCCTAAGCCCCTTCTTCTGCCAGGCCCTTTTCAGATGGAACTATTAGGGACATTGACTATGGGTTTGATGAAATGGAGGGAAAAGGAACCCTGGGATCTAACCAGGAATGACAAATCTAAAGGGACACTAAGCATTTTCAGGCTATGGTGGCAGACCAAGAGAGTCTTGTGTGTGAGACAAGTTCTTGATAGGAAAGTTGGTAGAGGGTGGCTTGAAAGTTTGGGATGGGTGGTCCTTTCATGGCAGAAAGCCAGAGGAAG